AGGGAATGTTGACACTACAAGAAACAATTCGTTTCGTTATAATCCGTTTCTCGTGGCCGGTGGTAAAATAAATCTATAACGCGTTTCGTACCCGTGCCCCCGGGTTTCCTCGTTCCGACCAGCCAGCCACCCTCCTGTATTCGCCTTTTTCTACGGCGGGTCTTGGCTGTTAGTTGGTAGCGCGTCGGTATCTCGGCCCACGCTACACCATCGTTGCTCCAGTGTGGTGATATACAGCATAAAACCGCGAGAGAAATACTATCTTCATTGTCTAAATGGCTGCCGATAAAGCAACCCGAGTTTACTGCGGACGAGATTGTATTTATCATCCACCAACGCCAGCCAACAACGCACACGTTATGTACCTTACTATCCAGTTATCTAAGATATGTTTTGTCTATCTTCCAAGAAAAATGGATTATATCTTTCGAGAATGGTGAAACAAAGGGAAGGATCCACCGTCTTTCCTAATAATGTATCCGACAATGAAAACGCAATATCTATACGATAACGATGCGATTTCTCGAGAGAGCGAGATAACGATCCGAGTAACAGACCGACCGAGGAAAGAGAACGATCGTGTCCGTTTTACAATTATCGCGGGGGCACGATTGCGATAATTCTTCGAGGCAGAAAATTAAAGTCAAGTTTAAGGGAATAATGTTGCGAATTTAATTTAACGGCGGGAGGGGCGGGGAGGGAGGGACATCTTGAACCGGAACAAATGCACGTTACGTGGACGTTTTAACCGCGAAAGAGAATACGTGGGAGTTTAATACAATATTTAAAGGGAAAACCCCGGTAAGTGTGGCTCCATTTTCTGTTCTTTGAGAGAGGAAGGGTGTGGTCACGTGCCGAGGAAAATGCCGGGCACGACCTTCCACCATCGACCTAAGAAGGATCCTATGCTTGACTAAGCACAAGCTCCATCGAACCTTTCATTCCACGTACGAGAAATAGATCTGCAAGCTCTATTAAATCGTGATTTGTCGGGGTTTCTGGCCAAAGGTTCAACCGAACGATGACATTCCTTCCTGCAAGAATTATACTATCCCGTTTGTAACTAACGCGTTGTTCGTAAAATGCGTGAGATTCCATTGCGTCAACGTTCAATTGTGCCGAACCGGACGATTTTTACGGAAATGCTATCCACGTGTTTCATCGATTTTCAATTAATACGTTCACGACGTTGTGCTTAAATTTAGAGCCTGTTGTCATGGAACGAATGCCTGAATGCCTGAATGCCAACAAACTTGATCGAATGATTATTCTCTGACGTTGCTCTAAATTTAGCATATCATTTATAATTTACTGTATAAATATTCCAGTTATCGGGGATAAATATCCTGACGGCAATAAGGTCGAATACACACGAATTTCTAAAGATAATTTTGTTTGTTGTCGATTCATTGGAAAATCAATGATAATCGAATCCCGCAATGACCACGTGTTGCACTTCTGAAGCAAACATTATGTTTCCAAATAGCAGCTTGTTATGTCGCGGCAACGTCACGATCGGCATGCTTTTCAAGCAACCGTAGGAAAATATAAACTCGGCGACGCACTTGCGCAACGAGCGTAATACAGTTTCACGTTATACGTTATACAAAAAGCACCGCTGTCGCCGTAAATTTGTATCTTAATACAACAGGCAGAGGCGTGCGTAACGTTTTCTTGTAAAAGTCGACAAACGTCGTAAATAATCGTCAACGTCTTGAACAATTTGTCCCCGAAATGCGAATTGCAAGTTAACCGGTGACCGTAACAATGCAACGTGAAATTAACGTCATGTTCTCCAGGTTTTCCTGACGTTTCTATCCTCGTACGTACACACGACCAGCGATATTATGCTTACAAATAAATGATACCGTAAGATCAGCGAGCAAGAGTGCACGAACATAATACGGTCTGTTCATCATTCTTTTAACGTATTCCACGCTCGTCGCGACATAGAAGACCAGAGAGAGGGTGGCATAGCCGTGTCACCAAGGGTTTGGGGAAACTCGGAGGGCACGAAGCAAGAGCAATACTATCGTAACTGCCGCACGATGTTCCTACCGTAGACCTCTTCTTCACCGGTGCACACATATGCGGCCGTACAAATACATCGAACCGCGTGTCCATACACACGCCGCATACGTGTATATATTTCCTCAGAGTTTGGTCCGTCTCTGTTCGTGTTTACTCTTACCCTAGCCTGTTCTCATCTTCAACCGTCTGCAGGTTCTCTCTATCCTTCATATCTGTCGTCCTTCCTCTCCCTCCCTCCCTCCCTCCCACCCCCTTTTTCTCCTTCTGAGCACTTCTCTCACGATGGAGAGACCGACCCCGACCAAAGAGACGGAGTCACGTCTCCAGACCGGAGTTGTTCTAATTAAATTACTTAAGCGTACGTGTATCCAGGGATGGTTTTGGCCCGGATGCTCCTACGTACAACCGCATGCCACCAACGTTCGAAAGGACGTCTGGGTGCTATGTAGTGTTTCATTCGAGCTTCACAAGTCAACTTACCTTCGAGATCGCTCTTGCCTTTACGTCGATCCCTTTTCTCTCTCTCTCTCTCTCACTATTCTCTCCCGTCCGCTCCCCCCCTGCGGATCTTTCCTTCAGAGTAGATATTTGTATTTTAGAAGAATTAAAATTTCATTACATCTTCATGACCTCGATGGATAATATCCCTCTGTTTGGTAACTTCTTGGTTATTTCGAAAGATTTTTTTTCTTTTTTTTTTCTTTGTGAAAGAAAAAATTAAAATTCCGTCGAGAACATCCAAACAGGCACCAGGGATTTACCGGTGACACGTGTCTCGAGAACGAAACCATTATATCTGATGTCAGTTTAAACGTGGAGAGGAGCGATGTATCCCCCTTGGAATACTTATGAAAGAACACGATTCCGGGATTCACGATCCCAGGATGTTTCTTTCTGTTTTCATCCTTTTGTTTTGCTTCCGCTTCCATTTTTACGCTGTCCAAAATTGTCTCGCTGCTTTTAAATGAGCAACAGTGAATCGATGTCTGACGAGCTTCTATTCCTTGTATGAGGCGAGTATTGATTCCTCGTGTGTTTATTAATTAACGTTAACATTCGCGTCAGCGTTTAAAAAAATGAACGTCTCATTCAAAGGTAGAGGCTGTTTCCATTGTTTGCGACCTAATGAAAATGCTACGCTCTCGCAGATTGCATCTGTCGGCGTAGTTTCATAAGCTACCACTCTGTTGAAGGTGAAGAGATTTTTTCGCCAAAGGAAACAAAAAGGGAGTAGGTAACTTAATATCCGCCATCTTGAAACACGCTTACTAGCAGAGAGTGTCTCGGGCAGTCTTATCATACTGGTTGGTGTCCTCTTCCTCTTTGTCTAGAGCAACGTCGACGTTATGGGCGACAGGTGGAGGGTTACAGACACGAAGATTTCACGTGTTCCTTCTCGCTTGCTCCACTCTCTCTTCTCCCACAATATCGAATCCCACAAAGGATTTGTCGATTTCCGTTACTGAAAAGGTAAATGAACAGTGAAACCATAAAACGATACTACTATATCATATGAGAGACCATTGTTCAATGGCCAGAGTAGAGCGACAGTTCCGAGAGAAGATGAGAGACATTGCTTCATCTGAAATTTACTAGATTTACTGTTAGCTGGAGTATACAGGGTGTCCTGAATTTAAATTTAAATTTATCAAAACTTCGGGAGCGTATAGAGGACCGATAAAGTCCTTTAGAGATTTGCTCACTTTTGTTCCATTTTAGAGAAAATCGAACAAATGTGTTTCAATTTTCTCATTTATTTAGTAAATTTATTCGCTTCGAGTATAGTATAACTCGAAAGAATAATTGGAAGGACCAAATCGTAATTACAGTACACTGAACATGTATCAGAACAACGTTTAGCTACAATCAGAGTGGCCAATGCTCAATGCGAATGGCCAATCTTTTGAACAGTATTTTCATTAAACGAAATGATGATATATATAATAACAGATATTATACGATCATGTAAATGAAAAAAAAAATAGATGACAACAAATCGGAAATAAAATATAATGATAAAAAAATTGCAAATAAATGAGTAGAAAAATGAAAACCGTTTTGTTACTTTTTAAAGCTTTTCCAGAATGGAGACAAAAACGAAAAAACATCTCGAAGAAACATTTTTCTGTTAATTTACAAGTTTATTTCCACAAGCAAAAGTTGAATTGGCAGGAAGAATCCATTGTATTTGGAAAAAAATATATATTTTTAATTTGCACTGAGAAAAGCACGTTCATCTTAAAATCTTTCTACAAATTCTTACTCAATTCTCCGACTCGACTCGGAGTACATTAAATTAAACTTGCAACTTCGGTGATCTGTTTTTGCCGGTCGGTATCATCAAATTTGCCTGCGAGTCTATTGGGAGGGTCTTGCTATATAGAGGAGGCAAGAAATTTCGATTTCACTTTACGCAAAACGTGCCTTGATTTCCCTCTTGCGTAAACACGCTCCTCCGCCATTGGGATGTTAAACACATATCGTAAACGTACAGTGTTGCTCTCGTTCGATGTCTCGACATATTCCCGATAACGGGGACAACTCTTGGAATTCGTTACGCAGAGTAATTTCGGCTCGGGTGAGAGATATTTGCTGAAAGGCAACTCGACTCTGTGAAAAACGCGTGAAACTTGTGGGCGTTGATCTTACCAATAAATTTCTTTTTTTTTTTTTGTTCGAACTTGTACGAAATTCGTGTCGATGAGCAGGAAAGCTCGCCGATCGATAACATTAATAACGCGTTATTAACTATTTTCATGTGCAGTGGAGGGGGGGCAGGGTCGACTGAGGCGCAGATACGTTAATTTTCGCGAGATGTAGCCATTAACTTGGCGACTGTGAGAAATTGGTCCACGCAGGACGGCACTGTCTCGCGAGGTAAAGCGAACGGCAATCGCACGGAGTGTACCGGTGTACCTCCGCCGCGAACGTGCAGCCAATTACCGGTACCAGGGCATGAAATAACTGCATTATCTCTGTGGAAGTGGCTGCTGCCATCCTCCACGGCCGCTGCCAAAGTACACCGACCTACACCCTTTACCTTCTATCTCGTCTCGTCGTCCATTCTGCTTCCAACCCGGTGTTTCCTCCGACCACTCGCTCCCTCCTCGGGCTCCGTTGAAATTATGTTGCCTGAAATTTCGATAAAACGGGATTCGGTTCGAGCCGGCATTAGATTGAATTTGTCGAGTTATAGTCCTCGAGGACGGAAAGAAACTTTTCGGACGGAAGAACGGTTGGCTCAGGGATTCGAGCAACCTACGTACTACGAGCCGCGCTTTCTCTCTCTCTCTCCTTTCGACATTCCCCTCCCCTTCCATCTCTTAAACCTTTCTCTGTTTGCCCTTGAAGTTCCGTCGGTCTCTTTGTTCACGGGGCTACGTCCCCGAACCGGATACAGATTCCTTCCCAGAGGGATTTCCTAACGTACCAGCTAGGAAACTCGTCTACTTTCCTAGCGAGTCAGAGTCTTTCTAGATCGTGGTCAACCAAGTTCATGTAAAATGACGAAGGTAAAGGCAACACAGGGTCCTGGGGATTTCCCGTCCAGGAGGATGAAACTACACGCCCGCGCGATCGTCAGATCTCTACACACTTTGTAATATATGCAATCTGATAATATTAATCTGAAAGGAATCAGAATAATTTTCACGAGATATGCCGGATTTGCAGACGACTTTAATATCTTTATGGTGATTAACTGAACGTCTTTGAACGACAGTTATCAGATCGCGTGGGAAAGGCATCGATTCCTTTTGGATGGGCGTATTAACGTACGCGTATAAACGTACAAGTATAATTGAAACTTAATAAAAGGAAACTCTAAAAGTGGTAACCACGAGAGTGCTCAACAGGAAGGAAAAGTGTTAAATTTAATTTAAAGCAACGATAATTGCTCGGTATAATACCGGTCGATGTTCCAGCGAATTGCTCCGCGATTATCGTTCACTCACGACAAGTTTTACACACCATTACCTTTTCGAATGAATAACAAACGAGTTCGCGTGGTAAAGACTCATTTAGCGTTATCATCGCACGAACGAAAGAAGAAGAAAAAAAAAAAAGAAGGAAAAGGGAAAAAGAAAAGAAAGGAAATACACGGATGACAGGAGGATAAAAAGTAAGGGGTAAAAGGGAAGAAAGAGAGCGAAACGCATTCCTCGCTCGTAAATGATGTCAAATAACTTTCGAGCGAGCGAAGGAACGAATGGTCGATTCGGAGCAGAGGAAAGTAAATAAAAGGCCATTCCGATTGGGCGATCAATTACATCGAGTCTGCATTATTCATGGGGAGTTGGGGCAGGCCGCAGAAAGCTCTACTTCCTCTTTCCCTCATCCTTGAATCAAACTAACCGAGAGTGAAAGAGAGAGAGAGAGTGAGAGAGAGAGAGAGAGCACGCTAAGAGAGGGAGAATGTATATTTGCATCAGCAATCACTGCGCAGCCATGGCCATCACTCTAGGATTTCTATTTTGAATAGTTGCAGCTATAGTCTGAAAAATTCATCGATGAACATAAACCGTTCGATTGTTTTTGATAGTTTTCTAATACAGATATGCCGCGCGAATAACAGAAAGAAAGCGTACAATGATTTTCAAATTACCGAGATACTTGGTCACAATCTTCGTTCTAAATTCTAATACGTCGGGCACACTTTCATATTTTAGTACTCTACTGAGAATAATATGTAGGGTATCCTATTAACTTTGTATATCTTCTTTGTTTTCAGAGATATGAAGAAATTTTACGAAAACTATTTAGTGCAGAGATGGTGGAGAAGTTTCGGAGATTTCAAGATAACTTTCATCTTTCTTTTCAAATGGAATGATATACATTTTTTTTTCATTCATTGAATTAAAATTATTAATTTGGGACATATTCCAATTTTTGTAATGACACTCTGTACATACATACGATTAAACACGTGTGATTTTAAGATGAAATTATAATTAAATTAAAATTTATTTTTTAAGCGAATGGTAAATTATCTTCTGTCGTAAAGTATCCCGATGCTCAAAATTATGAAGTATAACGAATAACTCAATGTAAAATAGTTTATATGTGAAATTAATTTTCATCCAACAGATAAGGTGATTTCACTAACCAAAATACCAGAGCGTTAATTTTTCGAAACACAAAGATATATAACACATAGTTACGACGTCTTCGATATTATTCAACCCAGTTATTGAGCCCGGCTGTATTCTCCTTTCTCAGCCCCGTAGTTCCTCCGGATATTGTTCGTCGTCAATATTGGAATTCCGCGTTATATCTTCGCACCATCGTTCCACTTTATATAACATTCAAATAAGGAAATTATCACAGTCGCCGTACCTCCTTAGTGGATAGTATTGAAAATTTATAGAACGTGAAATGGATTACTGAAAATTATTCGAGATACGACCAAAGATTTTCAAATAGCTCATTTCTGATTTCAATTCAAGGAACGTTAGTTTCCGTCATACGATTATCGATATGTAGAATGTTCAAAAATAAGGTCTCAAAGTTTCAATAAATCCTAGAAGATATCGTCATTAAACTATGTATGTTCTTTTTTTTTATTTCTAATTTAATTTTTCACTGATGTGAAATATGACTTTTCAGTTTTAAATTTCGTCTTAAAATTTGATTCGTAATTTACATTACTTTTTGCTTAAAATCTAGACAAAATAATAAGGCTTTGCTTATTAAAAAATAGACCAAATTAATAAAGAGCGTTAACTGAATCTGACGTATGTTATAAAAATAAGAAATTTGAATAAAAGTGAGGATAGTATGCCCTTTTAACAAAAATCTTGATAAATCAAAAAAAAAAAAGAAATCAATAAATTAAATTTTATTCTTCTCTAAACAAAATTTGCTATTTTTCCATTTAATCCAAGATCGCTACATTAATCTGTGGAACAGTAAATACTATGATATACTATGATATACAATGGAGTTTCTTCATCAGAAATTTCAAGATACTAATGTCTGAGATACTAGAAAATGAGTTTTAGGGATCATACCGTATTTATTTTTGATTCAGAACTTTTGCTTCCGTAGATCGTATTACTTTCATTATAGGGGATCATGTGCTACATTAAGCTTACTTTTAAAGATGTCAAAGATAAAATAACATTACTCATAAATATCGATTCTATAAACTATGAGCTTTTCATCAGATATATTTCCAACATGCAACTGTTTAACTTCCTTAACTCGCAAGAAATATTCTTTTCTCAAGCAAAAACTTTCGTCTTGCAGGTTAGATTATAGTTGATAATAATTATTTAAGCTTGTTACTGGCAACATTTTTGTGACATCTAGTGAAAACATCATTCTCTGTGACTATAGTTAGCAACGAGAGATTGCGCGACTCATCACCAATAATTTTCTTTTCATTTATAAATCGAGAATCAGAAGGAGGCAAACTCGCTGATAGGAGACCATAGTGCTATTCTCCTTTCTACATTTTGCACGTATTCATGGTGTTTGTAAAATGTAACGAGAAACAAACATGCAAAGTGACGGGCGTACCAATTAAAAGCATAAAGAAAATTACCACGGTGCCCGGAGACCGTGGTAACGAATGACTTTCAAAATTTCGCTACAGCAGCGCGAACCTGATAGCGTTTCAATCCGGTTCGTAAACGTAGAACGAGACGATTAACGGTGGAGGATATGATTCCACGTCGACGAAAATTGTTACACCGACAGAGAGTAGGCAACGTGAAATTGAAGTCGAAATAACGTAGAAATCTCCATGCGGGAGTCCGTCGGGGGTGGACGACATCTTCATGCTCGGATGCTCCCTCGGTACGCTCCGACGAATTGGTAGCATTCGACTGCCGCAAAAGCGAACCCAGCCCGAGTACGTCATCCGGTAATCAAAGTGGACTCGACCTCGTCCTCCGACGTGACGGATATATAAGTATATCAAAGCAGTGGTTTGGTCACCGTTTCAACCGCTCTTCGTTTCTCCCTCTTTCTTTTCCGGCTCTTTCACCGTTCCCCTCTCTTTCACCGTGTTATTACGTTTCTCCACATCTTTGAAGGTGCCGTCGAGCAGAAATTATGAGTCTCTGTATACTATGGGTTCGCTCGACTACTTTCTGCTCGAATTAAGTACGGGCAAAGGATCGGTCGAGCGGTCGAACACAAATGCAAAAGCGTGGTTGAACATTGCCGGTGCTCGACGGCTCCCTAGTTGACCCCGCCAGCTAAAAGACCGACGATGTTGAAGTTTTGACATTACATTCCTGCGGGTCCTGCATCGTGTTCGGAACTTAGGCTCCTCTTACAGCGACCTCTCCGTTTCGCCGAGAAACGTATTTGGTACAAGAGCGAGGAAGATGTTACAAAGACCGGAACGAAATACGAACGAAATCGGCTTAAACGTATATTTCAGCAACGTTTCTCTTCAGCAAGATGTTTTCCTTAATAAATTATTCCTGTACCTATGATAGTTTATCATTTTCGACTGGGAAGAAGCTTCCTAGCGAGAGAATTTTATTGTTACGACGAAACGTGAAATATAAATTTCTTGCTTACGGTTGCCGCCGCTTTCAAAAATACCAACATTTCCAGGAGGAAGGTACATTCCTTTACATTTTTCCACAGACGAGAAAAACGAATCGTTTGCAATTATCAGAACGGTGCGTTAATCCGCGCCATCGTAAGCGCGTATCGAGCCACCGTGAAACGAACAAGTAGATAGTGTCGGTAACTGGTCGGCCACCGTGCCACGGACGCGTCGCGTTCGTCACGCGTTTATTACTTACGAAACTCTAGAAGCGCGTCCCGACGTTGCTCGTAGTTCGTTGAAAGTTTCGATTATAATCGCGACGATAGATTCGAAACGTCAGAAACGGAAGGGAAAGGTGGCAAGTTGGTCGGCACGATGAAACTTATTTCCTAGTTGGACGTGTCGGCGAAATTTCGGAAAATATCCGGCTCGGCGGATATATCGACGCGGGGGTCGTTGACGACGTTACCGCACGGCCATCCACACCACTTGGAAAGGAGACTCGATTCGGAGCGGCGCGCTTTGCGGCAGCATCGCCAATGCGTCGAGGCGTGGCTAGGTTAGTTTAGTTGGAAACATGCCTGGGCGAGCATAGCAAACACGCGCAACTGACACTGGAGGGACGGGCTCATGACGGAGGCGTATACCCACGTACATATATAGATATACGTCTGCATATATACGTGTCCATCTTCGCTGGTGATACATACAAGCGTATATGTGGCTCGTAGGAACCAGGCGAAGAGGGGTCGAATATCTCGGCCGTCGGAGACCGACGACGTGGACAAACAGACGTGCCGACGTCCACGGGGACACGGAAAACACGACGGCGTCGGCGTCGGCGTAGGCGGCGCCGTGAAACGAGAAATCCGCGTATACCCTCCGGCCAGGTTTTCGATTGTCCGGTCTGCAGCCTTCGCTCGTATCACGATGGAAATCGATCTGCCGGGACGAAAGCTATCGGAGGCAGGCACACAGAGGCCCCGTCATGAAAATACGACAGGCTTTTCCTCGTCGAACCGGCGCACGATACATTCGATACCCCTCGATCGTGCGTGCGTATACTCTTGATACGCATAGCAGTATCGAATTGGAAACGATCGCTCGCTCGTTTCTCAGTGAAAGGAGAGGTTTACGTGCACCACAGAGCGGCTTTGCAACGGATTCGTTTGACACGGGATGCATTTTCGAAGGACGAGCGGATCGCCGCGATTCAATACCGCTGAAAATACGATCTTAATGCACTTAACACTTTGCACTTTCGCGCGGGCAGAATATTTCGTATAAAATATGAACGAGTTCCACGGGCGCGAACGCGCACGGCTATCGACGATGCGAATCCTAAACAGCGAACGACAATGCTCGCGCGAGAATACTTTCGAAATTTTAAATTCCTCTGAAGACTTACCGGACGTTGGCGGTCAGATCGATTTGATCGTTCGATTTTGTTTTTCTTCTT